ATTAAAACACACAACCTTTGGGTTACGAGTCCTAATGGTTAAAGAGTCGGACTCGTAACCCAAAGGTTGTGTGTTTTAATGGTTTTAGATATATATATCAGTTTCATAATGTTCTTGAGCAAGGCACCGAACCCCCAACTGCTCCCCGGGCGCCGCAGCAAAAAAAATGGCTGCCCAATGCTCCAGGTGTGTGTTCACGGTGTGTGTGTGTTCACTGCTGTGTGTGTGTGCACTTTGGATGGGATAAATGCAGAGCACTAATTCCGAGTATGGGTCACCATACTTGGCCACGTCACTTCATTCTTCTGATTCTGAAAACATGTCAAATACCTTCCCATTTCTGTTTCACCAGCTAATGTGCTTCATGGTGGTTCTTTTCAGTGCTCCAAAAAAGCAGTAGAAGATCGGGAAGTTACTGCATTTGTTATGCTTATACTATAATTTATTATGGATTTTTTAAAAATTCAATTAGAAAAAAAAGTAAAACAGAAGCATTTTAACTGTCCGCAGACATTTGGACCCCATTGTATGTGAATAGATTATTTCTTATGAGAAGTAAAGACATTGCGCTATCACAAAATGATATATGGCCCAATCTGGTCCAATGGTGGCAGTGTGGTCAGTATGTGGAGATGGATTCATTCATTACTCCACAGCTCTAACAGCAGCAGACAATGACACAAAGCCTGGAGGGCAGCACGGTAACTGTGCATAGTGTGAGACAGGAGAACCACACATTCTGAGCATACATTTGTTCAGAAGGTGGGGAGGAAAAGAAGTACAAAGGATTAGAAAACAGAGATATGGTAACGCCTAAGGAATGGAAAGGAGCAAAAAGGAAATGGATAGAGCAGAAGACAGCAGAAAGGGGGGAAATCAAGTTTAGCAAATATTATTTCAGCACAAAAATGGGGCAAAAGCCTCTGAAGGAATAGTTCAGACGAAAATGAAAATTTGCTGAAAATGTACTCACCCTCAGGCCATCCAAGATGTAGATGAGTTTGTTTCTTCACCGAGTGACAGTTCAGTGAAGTTAAAAATGTTTTGATAGATTTCTTAGAGTTTCTTATAAACACGCAGCTTTTCACTTCACTACACGTTACTTTATGGACTGGAGTCATGTGGATTACTTGAAATAGAATTTTCAACATTTCTCACTAGGTCTGCACAATTAATCAAATTTCTAATCGCGATTAGAAATATGGATGCCACAATTACATAATCGTTCAAAGCAGCAATTAATCATTCAAAGTCCACTTATGTTATTCTGCGTGCTTAAGACATGCTTTTTTTCTTTCTACATGTTATCTTAAGTGTTTTTACATTGTTTTAATTTTAGTTTTAGTATAACATTATAATGACATGCATATTTTTACTTTTTTATTTAAAGAAGAAACCAATCCAATGTATAGCTGACAATTGAGGCTTAATACTATAGAGAAGCAATAAAAGCTTTTTCAGTTAGAGTGTTTTCAGCTTGTTTATTTTCATATAAAAATATGGAATTGCTTCAAACAATGGTATTAACATCATTCAATGTATCATAAGTAATAATTACAATTTACAATTTCAAGGGAATGATATACAAATATGATTTTTGTCACAATTGTGCAGCCCTATTTCTCATTTTCATTTAGTTTAACTTGATATTTGATCGTGTTTATTTAGTTTAACTTTTGTACTAAAATAACTAAAGTAAAATGAACAAAAACTATATATTACACTCTATAGATTAAACATTTAAACCTTAAATAAAAATAACTCATACAAATGACAGAACACAACTGAATTACTAAATCTGAAAATAAAATTAAAATAAAAACTAATTCAAAATTTTAATAAAAACTATAATAGTATCTCGATGAGGCTAAAATAGCATTGATTCACACCCCTAGATTTATTGAAACAAGCCTTACTTATAACCCTAACTTGCTCATTTACTAATAAATTTGCAATTAATTTAGTTTTTTTAATTAGTAATTTAGTTTTTAGTGACTCGGCTACTTTAGGGTACTTTTACACTATAGTGCTTCTGGTGCATTTCATGTGAAAGTACTCTTCTCAATATGCGTTTGTGTGTGTGTGCATGTTTATGTGGTTTATGAGGACACAAATTTGTATAATGACATGGGTATGACACAGGTATTACAATATGAAGGTGGTTTATGAGGACACTTCCTGTGTCCCCGTAATTCAAAAGGCTTAAAAAACATACTAAATGGTGTCTTTTTTTTATTTTTATCTAAAAATACTGAAAGTTTTCTGTGAGGTGTAGGTTTAGGTGTAGGGTTGGTGTAGGGCGATAGAAAATACAGTTTGTACAGTATAAAAACCATTACGCCTATGAAGAGTCCTTGTAAACCACATATAAACATGTCTCTGTGTGTGTGTGTTTTATCTTATTAGTTATGTATACCATCTTTAAAAAAACCCAGTCTAATAGCATAAAACAGTCCAAATGCATTTACGAACTTTTTTTCATCCATGTGTCAGCAAAGCTATTAAATACAGAGTGGAAGGACGTTTGGGATTCAGAGATTTTGTATTATTCAAAGCAAATATCCATTCAATAAGACATTTTAATCCTCTCAGAAACATTCAACATGAGGATGGGAAAAGCCGACACAATACTTCAAACTTTGATGTGTTCCCTGAATGGTCTGGTGCTTTAGTTTAAAATTACAATAGCAAAATAACACCTCCTTTCTAGAGCCACAACATTTGTTTACCTTTAAAAAAAAAGTCACTGTACCACTGGGTATTTTTTTTATGCTATATATTTATTATTGATGTTGGAACTTGATTAAAAAGAAATTGTTGATAATCTCAGAGTCCATATTGGTTTTTCTGGCCATTTTTACCATTATTTATTTAAACAAAATACAAACATTTTGTGGTGCTTTAAAAAGCATTTAAATTGTCAGAGCTCTCGAGAAGTGTAGAGGCATCTAATGTGTTCATTTAAAAGCCTTTTGATTTTCTTTCTCATGGCAGTTTGAAAGCAAAACCCTCACTGATTCTCCTGAGGCTGATTGTACAGATTGACATGCTCTCTGGGCTGCTACTGATCTCAAGTATTTTATTGTACAGGTGAGCATGTAAGCTCAGAAGATGAAGTTTTTAATGTAAAAGAAGAAGAAGAAGAAGACTGAATGACTTTAGTCCTCAAACAGTATTCTCAATGAGACATGGAGCATCTCTTTACTGAAAGGAACATCTGTACATGTTGTGATCACTCTGCCGACAAAGATATATTTTTCTTCTTCTTCTTCTTCTTCTTTTTTACAATGAAACTTGTTTAATTTTTCAAACTGGATATTTTCAATCAATGAGAAACTTAAGGAACTTAAGTTGAGATTGTGCAACTGC